GATCATGGGCTTTGTAAATTCCCTGGGGGAAGGAGGGCAATGGTATGCTCTTTTTTCATGCTCTATTTTCTTTCAACCCCTGCCACTTTGGTCAGAGATGACAACTCTCTCATAGTATCAACCTGGTCTCTGCTCCACACTGGGCCATGTTTAGCAGCAGTCTCAGGCTTAATATATGATGGATGCCTAAGAGGTTAAATAAGAAACATTCATTTCAGCTCAGAACAAAAGATGCTCCTCCTCTATTGCTTGCAGGTTGAGTTTAAAGTAGAACTGAGACTATTGAAAAGGTGAATCTACAGTTAACTGATGATGAGACTGTTTTGGTTTCAGTCCTGTGTAAAAACCCATGAGGTGGTAAGGCACCACCATAGCATTCCTGTGTACTGAAAGCAAATTTCTTTTTGGACCCAATAGAAATGCATTATGGCAGACTGCTCACTATTTTTAACTTTAAAAATGTTCTGAGAGGCAACGTGGCACACACAGGGTCCAGTTGATTAGAATACATGTATTCTTCACAGTGAGGTCCAACACTCACTTCTGTGAGATTTAGCTTGGCCACATTCTTAGTTGGAGATAACAATCCACTTCGGGGAATTTAAAAAGGAAAGGATTTATTAAGGGATTGAGATAAATTGCAGTATTATTGTGAAGGCTGAAGACAGAGAGTTAAAGCTGATCCCTCAGGAAGAACTCCCCAGCTTTAACTGCAGAACTGAGCTTCTTAGTGATGGGCTACCATGAACATGTTCATGGAATAAGGAAGCAGGCTGCAGCATCTAGAAACAGCCACCTCACTGCCAGCTCAGAGCTGTGCTGCCATGATCCAAACCAGGAAAATGAATGGCCCATGCCCTGCTTCACTCCTCTAGTGGCTCAGTTCTGAATCAAAGTCTCATGCCAATGCATCTGAAAGGCAGAACCTAAACTCTATCTGGAGCTCTAGGCAAATAGGGGTCCAGCTCCTCTGTACACTAGAATTTGCAATGAGTGTTGAGTAGAGCGTTCTGCAGTATCTGCATAGTGCTCCCATTCTACCTATCTTCCATTAACTAGCATTTTAAAGAACAAAGCTATGTCCATCCATCTGTCCTCCCATCTGTTCTTCTAACTATCCATCCATCCATTCATCTATCCATCCATCCATCCATTTGATTTTTGCACTTTTTATTAATATACCATTTCTTTTTTTAAATCTATGTTTCAGAATGCTCTAAAATATAAAAATTTCTTTAAAAAGTATAATCACAATACCATTATCATATTTGAAACAATCCCTGAACATTGTTATATATCTAGTCAGTGTTAAAATTTCCCCCATTTCATAAATTTTTTCTTTTTGTTTGAATCAGTTTCCAAATAATGTTTGTTCTGAAATTACAATATACGGTGGATAGACCTGTCTCTTAAGCCTCTTTCAATATACAGCTTTCCTCTCCTTCCCTTTCCTCTGCCCTAGCTGTTCTCTTCTCCCCTCCCTTTCCCTGGCCATTCTCCCTGTCCTCTGCCTCTGCCCTTCTCTCCCCTTCTCCACCCATTCTTGCCCTTGTTCTTGTCTCTCCCTTACCTCCTTCCCTTTCTACTTCTTCTTTCTCTTCACTTTTAGTTTTTTTTTTTTTTTTTTTAAAGAAACTGGATCATTGGTCTTACTATCTCACAGTCTAAATTTTGCTTCCTGTACCCCTGCGTTGTCCTTAACATACATATTCAGTTGTCTTTTGTATTTCCTACAAACAGGCACTTAGATCTAGAGGCTGAACTGATTTAGGTTTCACTTTTTGGTAATGTTGAGAATGTTGTGTGCATGGTTCAGAGGTTGCAGTACATGGTTGTGTCTGTGGTTCAGAGGCTGCAGTATCCTGTTTTCTCTCTTTTGGTGATGTAAGCAGCTATTGATGACCTTTGCCTAGATCCATCATTTCATTAGGGGTTGCAAAATATTTAGATTCTAGTGTGTCATTCCTTCCTCATTTATTAGCTGGAATACTTTGACCATGAGGAACTGTCCCTCATCAACTATTTGGCTTTCCTGCTGTACATGTATGCAGGAAAAGCAGAGTACATTCTTGACTTCTTGATTCCTACTGCTGTCCTTTTTTTTAAACCAATTTTCAGAATAACAAATTGGTTCCCTAGCTTTTAAAAAGTATCCTTATGACATCATAAATTTAAGCATATCTGACTTGCTTCAAGCCATTGCACTTTCTTTTTAAATTGATGCTAAAGCTAACTAATCTTTGGTTACTGGGAACCTTTCTAGTACTTTTGATAGTGCCTTCATAATTTTGATGACTTTTTTGATTTCTGATATAATAAAATATTCCCAGCTTAGTTCATATAATTCTACCACAGACCCAGAACCAACCGTTTCTCCAAGGATCTCCAGTTGCTTTCAGCAAGAAATGTTATTAGAGATGTCAATCTGGATGCTATCTAAAATAGTGTATGTTTTCTAGAAGTAATTTAATCTTTAATTACTCTAAGAATTAAAGAATGAAAGAAATGACCCTTAGCACAATGTATGTGAAATTAGCACCATGCCTTTTAAGATTTCTTAAGTAAAATATTAAGAAAAATTGTGATGCTAGTGATTATTGTTTGATGATTTAGGAGTTAGGGTTTTGGGAGAAATATTCTTCCAGCTTGAATACAATTATTCGTAAGCTGCCTTTACTTTGTGCTGATTAGTTTTTCCCTCTGCAATGGGGTGTTAAGAGACAGAGGACATAGCTTTGCTTCATCTATTGTTATAAAAAATGAACACATAGACTTTTATATCCCCAGAGGCTGCCATGCCAAGGTTCAGGTCAAGGTGATGTAGACAATTAGTTTGGTGAGAGGCAAAAGCTGTTGTCTAGGAGTCAGGGGAGTTGCGCTTACATCCTTAAATACCATTGCTGGATCAGGCTCACTTTTAACTACCCTTACCCGTTCTGAAAATTGGTATCTATTTCCTCCTCTGTAAAATGGGTAGAGTATGTGTACATGAGTGAATTTGGGGAGGTATAGTGTAGGGAAGAACAGTTAGCTTATTCTAGCTAATTAGATTAATGTGAGGATCATTCCAGACAGAAATAAAATATATGCACAGGTTAAAATAATTAGTGATCATATCTTCATCTCATTCCAGGGGAGTCTTGTTCCTGTCTATAGGAGTCAGTTGTTTCGATGGACATTATAGGTCCCCTGGGCCCAACATATTTTCTCCACTGGCTCTCCATAGTGCTTGGAATCTTCTCAATTCTTACCCTCTTATTGTCCAGGTATGGGCCCTCAAATGTAGTCTAGGAAAGGTGACATGTTATGCCATCGTCATCTACCAAAACCCTAGTTAAAATGATCTCATCTGTCTTGATTGTGAGTCACTGAGCAGGACTCTGAATGGGCCATAGCATGGCTCCTTTTTATGATGAGGAAGATGGCTGGGGAAGTCTGGAGGAGACCACAGGGGCAGTCAAGAGGCCTCTCACTGCAAGGGAGAAGTGTGGGAGAAGGAAATCCAATGGAAGGTCATTAATGAGTATTTGTTTTTACTGGCCCATCAGCTATAGCACCTTGATTTCATTTTGGAGAACTACTCTTCTCTCTTTGCACATGAAAGGATAAAGGTGTTATATGAGCTAGACCAGTCAGATGCTGTCTTTCGGAAATTGACTCCTCAGTGAAGGAACAGAAGACCTAAAGTAGTTGTAGTCCATCAATCTCAATGGTGACGCCCTGAAGAGATTGTTCAATAGCTCCTGCTATCTGGATCTGCAGAGCTGCCCTGATTCCTGGTCATCCTGAGCCCGAGTCTGCAGCTTTTCTTGCTGTCTTTCAGTGAATTTACTTTTCCTCTCTTTTTCCCTTTTCATCCTACATTAACTAGATTTGTTGTTTGCCTGTAACCAAGAATCCTAACATAAATGATCTAAAAAAAAAAAACCAAAAAAACCTCTTGTTCAATATCATGGTTTAATCTTTTCCCCTCTGTAGTAGCAGAGAGAAATCTAAGATACGTTACTAAATGCCCTATCTGAAAGAACTTGTATCTTTAATGCTTCAATTGGAACTTTGCAGGCCTGTCTCTGTTCAAATTCTGCAAGGAATTAAGCAGCCTTTGTGGCCTTCTTCAAAATGTGTCCTGGCTAGGTTTGATCTACTAGGGAAAAACGGAAATGGATTGATTGGTTTCTTTATTGCTCTCTTTGTCTCCATGGTACATTGTTTAACTTCATGCTATAGTATATACTCTCCAAGAGGAAGAAAAACATTTTATTTCTCCATTTCAGAAGTGATGCATGCCTATAATAGAAAATACCAAGAAACAAAATGATGAAAACAAAACCACCCATAATCACCAAATAATTACTTTTTAACATTTTCCTGTACTTACAGTCTTTAATATATAATATATATATATATAAAGTATATAAAGTAAACATATATAATATTTACAAATGGGATCATATTGTTTTGTAACCTTAAAATACTTAATATTTCAAAAATTTTGCATGTCATTAAATCATTTTCAGTATGATTTTTAATAGTTGCATAGCAGTCTTGCTGTATTATTTACTAATCACATTTAGTAAATATAAAATTTTGAATCTTTTTATGAGAACTCATAATAATTACGATTAATTTTCTGTTTTGAAATTGGTGGAAATATTGCCCAGTGTTATCCACAGCCCACACTGATGTCCAGCATATATGACTACTCTCTTTGCCATAGAATGGCCAGTGGTAAATGAAGCAGGTGCATTTCTTTTTGTGATTCAGGCTATAAGCTTTGCACAGAACTTATCATGCTGGAAGAGTTATAGAAAAAGTGAAATGACCTTCAGTCCAGCAGGCCTTCTGCAATTTCTATCTCTGATAACAGGGTGCCCTAAGAGACAGTTCTTGTATAAGCCTTTTGTTATCAATACTCTTTAATCTCATACTTGTACCAGGCCCACAAAGGTATTCTAATGAGAGCTCTAACACTCCTGGGCTTGACTGAAAATTTTTCTCAGTAGGTTTCAGAAAGTGCTGAGAAGTATAAGCCCAGCAACGTGCAAGGGGAAAGAGGACACGACTCTGGATGGCCACTTGCTTTACTGGGATGCAAAAGCTCTTTTGAGTACTAGAATCAGGTAAGAGTGGCTATGTTTTCTTGGGGAAGGAGGGAAGGAGGGATCTTGAATGATCCTATTGTCTCAGAGATCTTCAAGAGACCCTAAAGCTTCAATTTATTTCACAGCTTTGGAAATGTGTTTTGCCAAATTGTTATGTTTTACTCTCTCCTTCTTGAAAAACAGGTACCCTGTTATGTGAAAATGTGGCAAATGGCTTGCTATTGTGTCATTAGAGCCTCATTATTGAGTTTTCAGGATTATGACAGATTAAGTGTGAACCATTATAAAATCTAGAATCATTTAAGATAGAATTATTGGCTCTGCTCTGCCAAGGTACCTTTGCATTCTGCAGGCAGGGAAGGCATCTGCTTTAACATTCAAGCTCAGATTTTAATCACCAATGAGAAATAAATAGTGCTAACCCAAGTTTTATTTTCTTAAAGATGGTGGACAAGTCAGCTAAAGTGGTTCCAAAAGAATGTTACTGTGTTGGCAGTAATTCTGGCAGCTAAACAGAATGGTGAAACACACGAGGTAGATCATTCAAGTCCACATAACAGGTGGAAACTCTAATGTTAAATCAAGCGCCATTGCTGACTTGTATAAAATGTTGCTGGTAGTCAATTCACCAACACAAAACTAGAAATAAAAAAGAAGTATTATTTTGCACCCTGTTTGATACACAGCCTTCTACCACGTGGCCACATTTACATGTAGTCTGCTTGTCCACGGGCTGGGGTTAAGAGGTCCAGCTGTCAGTCATCTTGGGTAGTAGGAATGCTCAGAGAACCAAAGCTCTGAGCAAGAACTATAGATACTGGGTTTGAAATTTGCTGGTGAAACAGCTGCTAATGAGTAGTAATTCTCTGTAAAACCTTAGAGTTTGGAGTCATATCTTAGATGTGTTTCCTGACTCCTGGGAACCAACAATAGAAGTTGGTCATAAGTCACAGATCTGATTTGTTTTGCTCCACATTTGAAGTTGTTTCTGCTGCTGGTGGTTAAGGTGATTATGGTGGTGATAACCACTTATCACCACCATGAGGAAAGCTTCCCAATAACCAGGAAATTTGGGAAGATGTTCTAGTCTCTTTGCCCATTCCCAGTTCAGCCTACCCTCTGAAATGTCTGCTGTTAGGCTGATCTTTCACCTCTAGCCCAGGGATTGCAAAATCAAATGCTTGCACAGACCAGATAGTAACTTAGATAAATAAGACCTGCTGGGTAGAGACTGGCAGGTTGAAGAATATACCCCTCATCTAAGCAGAACAGCAGCACTGAGTTTTAGGAAACTCTTGGTACATAGGAATGCTGGCTAAGTGTCACCACATTTTATGTATTATTTTAAGAGATAATTTGAAGTTTCAGTATTGTAAATGTAAACTCTATCTCATAAACTCTAAATGCTATTTTTTTATCTTGTCACATAAATCAAATTGAATTAAAAAATTGCCTGTACTAAATACACCTACATGTTTGCCATTTTTACCTCTTGGGGGTAGCAGCATCTTAGCCACAAATTACCTATTTTGGTGACAAATCCTGGGATCCCAATACCATTTCACTTCACAGGCTTCCTAAAGCACAGATTAAGAAAATGGGCTCTGAAGTTCCCACCTGTGATTCTAGTCATCCTTTAACATTAGCCTCCTGTAAATTCTCTTTAAGAACAGGGAAGAGCACAGAGACTTTGCTACTTTGAAATCGATTAATAAATGCTAACAGTTTGGCATTTATTGAACAAAAAAAAAGTATTGTTGCTTCATCTTATTTTTATAAGAAATTTATGAGATAGGTTTAATAAGAACTTTGAGATAAGATTGTCATACTCATATTCCTCTTTACAGATGGGGAAGCTGATATTCAGTATTGGGGGGAGGATTTCCTAAAGTCACCCAATAACTGGCAGAAATGAAATTCGACCTCTGAAGTCTGATTTCAGAACTAAATTTTTAACCACCATATTATACTTCTTCCTATTACATTATATGAGGTTTTAACTTGTATAGTTCCTCTGAGTAATGATTAATTCCCCCTCCCTTAAAACATCTTAAGGAATCTGTAATGACACTTGATACTTTTATATTCTCATCCTTTAAATTCTCATCCTTTGATACAGCATTTTCAAAATGTGTGGGATCCTTCTGTACACTGAAGAGGGATATTTTTTCCTAATGCCTGCCTGCAGACCAGAGCTAATTCCCCTTTCCATGCCCATTTCTCACCAGATAGTCATTGAAAGTTAAAAAATAGGCCAAAATTATTGGTTTCACCTTCAGGTGGGCAAGATAATTTGACTAAATCCTTGACCACAGAGTGCTGTCCTAACCCCAGCCAGCCTTCTCCCAAACACAAACAGTATGCGTGTGTCAGTCACCCTTGTCAACAGAGGCTCTCTCAGCCCAGACCCATGTACAGATCCCTAAACAGCATCACCACCATAAATGAAAGCAGTGTTACATGGCTGAGGAATGCAAATACATTTTAACTCAGTTGCCAATGCTAAATCATGAATGGTTGCTGCCAAGAGTAGTGTTGTGTTGAGAAAATCTGGAAACCACATTTGAGCTTTTCAAAAAGAATGCTGTAATTGATTGGTCTTGTCTGCCATGGGCTTGGTCTATGGAATGAGTGGTAAGTGCTTTGTACTTGTCATCCTTGGTATAGTCTATTAATATAAAAGAGCTAAGATATCTTACCCTTAGTTGCCTTAAAGCGTTTGTATTTTAATTTGTGATTTCTTCCTTTTCAATATTTCTTCTTCCATCTCTGCTGTACCTCAGAAGAAATGGCTAAACGCACCTTCTCTAACTTGGAGACATTTCTGATTTTCCTTCTTGTAATGATGACTGCCATCACAGTGGCCCTTCTCAGCCTCTTGTTTATCACCAGTGGGACCATTGAAAACCACAAAGGCAAGTGTCATGGGTTCTCTCAGATGCAATGTTTAGGCCTGTAAGAAACTTCTTGATTACTGTGGACACCAAAGAGAAAAACAGTGTCTGCTGATAGTTCTATGTGTACTTAAACAGCCTGGAATAGCCATCTCCCTTTGCATTAATTGCCCTTTCTGCATTGATAGCAGTTTTTATCAAGCTTACCTTTGTCCCCAGTAGCCAGCTGACAGGCATTCTGACAAGTACTTGTTTGCCATTAGTTTTTCCACTAACCTAAGCACAGCTCAAGATTCATCAAGATCCAGTAATGCAAGCTTTTGCCCTGAGCCTCTATCTTTCTCTTTGCCTCCTTGTAGACATCATCTTCTCCCGGGGGCAAAAGGAGAATGAAAGACTCAATGAATGTCAATTAATCTGTGAAGAGCTTTAGAGAAAGGGATCTCAACCTTAAATCCTTACAAGGGCTAATCAAGTTTTGCAAAGGAGGCAGAGGGAGCAGGCGGACCAAGGAGGAGGCAAGTGCAATTCTGGTGAAGAAGCCCCACAGCCTCATCCAGGTGCCAGCTGTTTGTTGTTGAGAGAACACATGGTCTCGGATCTCCTGCGTTTTCAGAGAAGCTGGAAATTGGAATTTTTAGACATCTCATGATTTTTTAAAATGTTGGAAACAAAGTTTTTGAAAACAATGTAGACTACATTTACACACAAGATTGGCAATGGGTCTTTGGTGGAGCCTCTGCTTCAGTCAGTGCTAGGTTACAGAACTGTTAAATGAGTAGAAAAGACAGAGATTCAAGCTCTGATGAAAGTAGAGAGGGCTGGCCTTAGGCCAAATGGAGAAAACGGCATTTTCTACCTCAGTTTTCCCTTTTGTGGCTTCTTTTCCTACATATTCTCTACCATGTCCCAGAGCTTTAAATTCCAGCAGTAGGCATAGAAGGGCCATAGACTGATAGAAGTGAAAGGATCCTTAAGAATTATTCAGTTTTAGCCGGGTGCAGTGGCTCACGCCTATAATCCCAGCACTTTGGGGCGGGGCGTGGGGGGGAAAGGTGGGCGGATCACCTGAGGCCAAGAATTTGAGACCAGCCTGACCAAAGTGGCGAAACCTCGTTTTTGCTAAAAATACAAAAATCAGCTGGGCGTGTTGGAGCATGCCTATAATCCCAGCTACTCTGGAGTCTGAGGCAAGGCAGGAGAATCGCTTGAACCTGGGGGGTGGAGGTTGCAGTGACCCGAGATCACGTCACTGCACTCCAGCCTGGGTGACAGAGCAAGACTAAAAAAAAAAAAAAAAAAAAAGATTTATTCAGTTTTGGCTCTTAAATTAGGAAATCGGGAGGCTGAGACTCAGGGAGCTTATTAATAATTATAGTAACTATTTTTATAGCAGTAGTTATTGTTTATTAAATGCTTTCTGTGTTGAGCACTATAGTAAGGATTCTAGATAATTTTCTCGTCTAATTCTCACAAAAATCCTATAAGGGTGGATGCTAGCTCTACTGTTTACATTAGTGCGATTTTACACATAGGGAAACGGAGACCCTGAGATTGCAAATAACTTACCCTTGGCTATATGTTAGGTTTGGCTTTAGTTGGCATGACATTTCTATGCTGGTGGCAGTGAGGCAATAGTGAAGATGCCTGCTCCACTCCTTGCAATATTTGATGTCTTGAAGAAAATCTCAGCTTGGGGATGAGAAGAAGTGGATTCTAACTCCACCTAGAATTTGGTTTAAAGAGCATCAGATTCTGAGTTTGAGGATCTGGGCTGCATACCAGATTCATCACATGCTCTCCATTAATTATTGGTTAAGTCACTTTTCTGAGTTTTAGTTTCCTCATCTGTAAAATTAAGGAGATTAAGTTACATGATCTCTAAGTTTTTTGAGCTCCGAATTTCCAGGATCTCAGAAGGAATCAGCTATAAATCTCATGCCTAAGTACTTTCTTACCACTAATGCCTTGGCAACTCCTATTATCTGGGGAATGAAAATAAACAAATATAAAATGTCTAAATTGGTAAAGAAAATCAAAACTACATAGTAGCCATTGTTCTAAGTTTATAATATTAGTGAACATAGTTACTGTTCAAAACAACCCCAGGAAGCAGGATACTATTATAATCTCCGTTTCATAGATGAGAACATTGGGGTGAAATAGGTTAAGCAATTTGATTACTTAGTAAGTGGTAGGTTCAGGTTTCAAACACAGGAAGCTTGTGTCTGGCATCTGTCTTCTCACAAAGATCCTATATGTCATTCTGCTTCCCTTGATATTTGTGTGTATGAAATATATAGGCATACATTAATATAGAATGTATGTGTATAAATACACACACATAGAGATATGAATATATAGGTATTAGAATAATTAAGATGAAATTATATCAACAAATATACAATGATCTGTTGCATTAAATATAAGTCTTTAGAGGGTCGAAGAGGATCAGAGCCAGGGCAGAGCCAGTGGGGTGGTATCCTGCAGGTGAGGAGTTGAGTAGGATCTAGGTGTGATGGAAATGGACTAACTCTGAACCAGGTGGTGAAGTTTGGTAGGTGGAGAGGAAAGGAGTGAGGGGTCTGGACAGAAAGAATGGAAGAAACCAATCCCCAGACATTGGATTTAGTAAACCTGACACCTGCTTAGTTTAGCTAGGAAAGAAGAGCAGGGCATTGAGTGAAGGCAGTGAGTATGGCAAGGAATGGCTTGTGAGGAGGAGTTAAAGGATGTTTGGCAGAGGCCTTGACTGTTAGTCTAAAACATCTCTCAACCAAGAAAAAGATCCTATTTAGGATTAAGATTTTTAAACAGGTTCCTGAGATATTTCTCACTGAATATTTTTATGTATAAGAAAATATATAAAGAGATTTCCCTAGGAAGCTGAGCCTATATATTATATTCTAAGTGATTTTGACAAATAAGAGGGCTGAAATGTTGTTTCTCAAATCTCTTATTCTGTTTTGGATTCAGGAAGCCATTATTTTCCAACCACTCAAAGCCCTCCAGCCACCCAGGGCTCCACAACCACCCAGAGCTCCACAACCACCCAGAGCTCCACAACCACCCAGAGCTCCACAGCCACTCAAACTTCTCCAGAGACTTCGACCCCAGAGCCTCCTCTGTTTCAGAACTTCAGTGGCTATCATATTGGTGTTGGACGAGCTGACTGCACAGGACAAGTAGCAGATATCAATTTGGTAAGTAGACAATGAGCTCCTTAAGGAGACCGGGAAACAAGTAATTTTATTATTTTGCAACCTGCATTGATTTCTGATTATACAACATCAACATTATCTTCTTCTAGCTTTTTAATTGACTTTGCTGCTGCCTAGCACGATGAATGTCATACTAGAAGAAAGAGGCAAACTTTTCTTGAATCACATCTCCCCTGTAAAGTCAATTGGCCATTTTTGTTTTGTTTTCTTTTTATGAGAAGAAGTAGCAGAGATGGCAAAGTCAAATACTACAGGGGGTAAGCAGATACCATTAATGACATTACCAGGCCAGTGTAAGATAAGAAATGTCTAGTGAATCCTCAGTTTAGGGGTGGGAGGCAGTAGGAAATGGTGGAGATTTTGAGGGGAAAAAAAAAGCATAATGAAAGTATATGGATCTAGCTGATTGTTGCCATGTAAGAATGGGGGACTCAGAGCTGCCCTATTTTGCAGTTTTTTAAAAGAAGCCCCCAAAGCCCCAGATTAAAGAGTTGAAGATTCAAATCTCTTACTTAAAGGCAACTCTAGCTAAAACTGGAAACCTAGGTTGGACCAATACTGTGAAAGCAAATACAGCACTTCTACATGTCAGGCGTGGACTATTGCCTGCTAGTCTTGGCTATGTGATACCCATTTATGTCAGTGCTTCCCTAGGAAACCAGAGCATGACGTTGTCTGGTGGGATTCACTCCCTCCCTCCGAGTAATCTTTACATTCCAGGTGTGATTCTCAACTGTGTGTTTCTGAAAAGTGATCCTGGAATGTGAACCCTAAATAAACACTCCAGGAGGGGTCATGCAAACAGTAGAGGGGGCATTCTGAAGACCTGGGTGTAGTTTTATGGGTAAATTTTATGATATGGTGAGGAAAGTGGCTTGGGATAGGTATATGTGATCTGAATTGGCTTAGGGAGTTGTGGAGTCCTGATAAATCAGGGGTCCCAGAGTTGGGGAGAACAATTGTTCTGAGAGGCAGCTAGTCATAGACAACCTGCTGCCACAACATTCTGTTCCCAAATACCTCATTCTACATGTAGCCCCAGCAGCATAACCTCTTTCTGCATATGCCCCCACTCAAGTATGACCCTTTAAAGCTTCCCTACAGCCCCTTCCTGCTGTGCTGCCTGTTGTACCTTTGCAACATATTTTCATACTTTCCCTAATAAATTTGCCTTTCTTTATCTATGACTGTTTTGGTAAATTTCTTTACTGCCCCATGTTATGGGTAGTAAAGGAACTTACCAGCCAGTCGCACCCACAACAGGAATGATATAATGGTAAAAGCCAGGGTAAGGTACCCTCTATGAAGAATACTTAATTATAAAGATACCATTTTCTTCAGAAAACAAAATCGTGCACAAAATAACCAATATGAAAGAGCCTTCAATCTTTAGAATGTTCCTGGGGCAATGTGGAGTGAAGGTAGGGAAAATATTTTTTCCTGTAGTACCTTAGACAGGAAGGAGAAAAAGTGCCATTGCAAAAAGCAGAAAGACCAGAAAGATTTCCCGTGTTAGTGTTGGCCACAGAATTTCCAAAGCCGCACCAGTTTCCTCCTGCCCATAAGCCGGGAATAGCTTCTGCCAACCTGATGATCAATTCTTTGCCTTTGCATTTTTCTACACAGAAGATACAAGGCTCCTTTATGATATTTTTTTGCTTGCTTTCTTCCTTTTTCTTTTTAATTTTTGAAACCATATATTCTCTCACTCAGAGCCACAATGTCATGTGGATGTTTTATCTTTGTCTTTCTGCAGTCATCTATGTTGCATGTTTGTGTCTGGTTTCTTGTAGCAGGGGAGTGAGACAGAGCAGCTCTGATTGTCTCTTCTTCTTTAGATGGGCTACAGCAAATCTGGCCAGAATGCACAGGGCATCCTCACCAGGCTGTACAGTCGTGCTTTTATCATGGCGGAACCTGATGGGTCCAATCGAACAGTGTTTGTCAGCATTGACATAGGCATGGTATCCCAAAGGCTCAGGCTGGAGGTAAGTGATTTGAGAAGAGAAAGAAATGAAGAAATGGCATGGTTTAAGAAAAAGTGGATGAATGTGACAAGAACTAATTCCCCTTGGTTTCTCATTCAGTGAATTCTACTACCTTCAGTATTATACACTCTTGACTATATAACAGATAATCTCACAAGGAGAATGATCCTCACTATCTCACTTTAAGTTATCTTGGTCAAAAGTTGCTTTCAGCTCTGCTGATGACTCATCATCATTATTAATGCTAATGTTTTTTATCGAAAGCCTATAATGTGTCAGGTGACTTTTATGTGTATTCCCTCATGTGATCCTCCTTCTTAGAAGTTGGGAGAGTTCCAGGTAATCACTAAGCCCTTCCTTGAGTTCTCAGACAATTGAGAATACATTTGAGGAATCAGATGTGAATTAAAATACAACATTGAAATGAGGTTGACCATGAATTGATAGTTATAGAAGCTGAGTAATAGGCACATGGAGATTCATTATAGTATTCTGATTATTTTTGCATGGATTTGAAAATTTCAAATCCATACAAAGGGAGGAGGAGGAAAGAGGGAGAGAGAGGCAGGGAAAGACAGAGAGAGAGAGAGAGAGAAAAAAAAAAGAGAGAGCAAGCAAGCAAATGATAAAACTTCCGCTTCTATCTTTCTAAGATAATTTCTAAGCCCTGACCCAATTATATTTTCTGCATGGGATCAGTTCACAAAAGGAGAATGTGCTCTGTTAATATCTGCTCACATATTCATTAATGTGAGAAGGAGGAATGGCTGGAGTATTGACTAGAACAATGACCATAAATGTCCAGCATGCAATGTCAGGTTCTATTAGCCTCACCTATTAAACACTTTCCTCCTCCTGCTGTGTGAAGGGGCCAGTGAGAGGATTGATGAGATGGCCTAAAAGCATCACTTTAACATTGCTCCCTCATGGGGAGGGGAGTGGAAGCCTCCCCCATCTGTGGAGACATGAGGAACAGGAGATTAAGTGTTTTCCCTACTCCTTCACTTAACACAAAACAGTGAGGTGGCTTTCTTATTAACTCAATTTTCTGGATAAGAAAACGGAGTCTTAAAGAAGATAGGTAACTTTCTGAATTTCACACAGTTACCAAATGGTAGAGCAGGATTCTGAACACAGGTATGCATAATCCCAGAGTCCACATTCTTAAAAGTGACGTTACTCTATACTCATAGAGGGAAAAATGCATTGACCACTTGCTTTTCGTTAGGTACTTTGCTAAGGTCACTTCAGGGGACACACAACTGAGGGAGTCATAACCCGTCTCTCTTATGAGGTCATTATCTAGTTGGCGGATAGGAGGAAGGACCATGACAGAAATATACAGATAGCTATAATTCACAGAAGGAAGGTTCAGTGGGATAGTTATTGTCTATTACTGAGTAGGAAATTACCCTAAACTACAGTGGCTTAAAACAATAAACATTTATTATGTCACATGATCGATGGGTCAGGAATTCAAGACTGGCTTGGCTCAGTGGCTCTGGCTTATGTTCTACTGCAGTCAAGATGATGGCAAAGCATGAGTCATCAGAAGGCTTGACCCAGGCTTGAAGGTCCACTTCCAAGATGGTTGGCCAAGGCCTCAGTTCCTCACCCTTCTGATCTTTATGACACAGCAGCTAGATTCCCTCAGAGCAAGTGACCCAAGAGAACGAGCAAGGAGGAAGCTACAGCGCATTGTATAATCCAAGTTTAGCAGTTATACACCTTTACTTTCACCCTGTTCTATTCATTAAGCAAGTCATTAAGTCCAGCCCACATTCAAGGGAGACAAAGTAAGCTTCACTTCTTGAAGGGCAAAATATCTGAGAATTTGTGGACATATAGTCTTTTAAGATCATCACATAGGGATTCAAGAAATGCAAATTAGGAAAACATTTTCATGGTGGAAATGACACTTGAGTGAGCAGAATTTTAAATGGTTAAGGTGGGAAGAGAGAGAAATCTAATGGAAGAAACAGAATGAACAGAGAGGCACGAAGGAGGGATGTGGACTCTTTTATGAGGGAACAGAGGAGACCTATTAGAACATAGGGAGGCATGTACTTGGAGATGTATCTGGGAGGTATGTTTGTCATAATTGCAGAGGGCCTGAGATACCGGCTTGTTTTTAATTCTGTGGGTGATATGGATTCTGAGAAATCTGAGTGGTGGAGTGATGTAAACACCACTTTGTTTTAGGATGATTAAGCAGGTAGACATGTTTGATATGGATTGGAATAGCATGGAACTAGATGTGAGGACAAAAAATAGCAGATTCTTCAAAGTGATACCGAGGCTCTATTGGTGAAGGTCTGGTTAAGAAACCAGTAATCATCATACTAAGTATTTCAAACAGAGGAATTTCACACAGGGGAGTTACAAGATGTGAAAAGGCTGAAGGAACAAGAAAGGGATGCTGGGATTGCTGGAAGGGTTTTTATTTCTTATAACTTTGCCTAACAATTTCCCCCTTTATTGTGTGAGGCTGGCACAAAGGCTTTAAACCAATATAATGGCAGTGAGACTACATGGTGGTGGGATATGAAATTAAATGTGAGTTGGCTGGGTGCAGTGGCTCACGTCTATAATCCCAGCACTTTGGGGGGCTGAGACAAGTGGATCACTTGAGGCCAGCAGTTTGAGACCAGCCTGGCCAACATGGTGAACCTTGTCTCACTAAAAATACAAAAATCAGCCAGGCATAGTGGTAGGTGCCGGTTGTCTCAGCTACTTGGGAGGCTGAGGCAGGGTAATCACTTGAACCTGGAAGGTGGAGGCTGCAGTAAGCCAAGGTCATGCCGCTGCACCCCAGCCTGGGTGACAGAGTGAGACTTTGACTAAAAAACAAAAAAAGAAATTAATTGTGAGTAAGATTTGAAGATGAATAGACATAAAAGCTAATACTTAATATTTGTACTGAGTCTGGAATGCTTTTAAGTACCTTGTGTGGATTAATGTACTTACTCCTCCAAATGACTCTATGAGGGAGTATATCATGTCATTTGACAGATTGGGAAACCAAGTTTGCAGAGGACCAAGTAATTTATCAAGGTTGCACAGCTAGGAACTATCAGAGCTGGGATTCAAACTTAAGCATGTTGGTGCCAGAATTCATGCTCATTTCTACTGTACTATACTGCTTTTCTAAAAAATGAGATGGTTCTAATTGGGAAATAGTGTGATCATTAGCAGAAATAAAAGAACCAAAAGGTAGACTTCGGAAAGTAGAGTGGAGGGGAGTTTAATGTGTTGGTTTGTAGTTGCTGTAAGTCAATAGTGGGCACCATTTATCTATCTCTTCCTATTTTTACTTCCCCGTGCAATCTGAGACCCAGTGGGAAGGCCCTTAAATGTACCCCCTTAGTTATCCCAAATTAACTCAAGGGAAGGTGTGAAAAATAAATGTAGCTAAGAAAATGCCATTAAGATTATTTATAACACCTGCTTCTGTGTAGGTTCTCAGTCTCAGCTTTAAGATTGATGAAATTTCCAGCACAGAATGAAGATTATGGAAGATCTCTGTGCAGTGAGGCAGGACAGGAAAACAGAAGGATTTCTTCTGTGTCATGCTCCCAAGAAAGTCAGTGATAGAAAATGGAATAGAAACTGAAGACAGAAGTGAGCTATAGACATAAATGTAGCTGCTTTGTCCTGTGTTAAAATACCCTCCTTTCATGAACTGGGAAACATGTTCTTTTCAATGGCTATTTGCTGGCATTGTTATATGACTAGGTTTTACATTTTTCTTTTTTTCCTCCTAGAAGTCTCATATGTCTGGCTTCATATCAGAGATTATAGTTTAAAATAAATTTACTGTGTACTTTTTGTAGTCTTTTTGTTTTAAAATTCAAGATTCATCATTTCTGTCTTTTTAAGGACTTGATTCTTGAGTAGACATGAAGAAATGCATTTAATTCAAAAATCATAATGTCACAGTTCTTTATGAATAAAATAGGATGGGGCTAGGGAGCTTTAAAGTTGATTTGTGGCTCTTTTTCTCTAATACCTTCTTGTCTCAGCTGCAAATTGTTAAAAACATCAGCTTTTGACTTTAGTACAGCTTTCATGGTGTCCCTTCATTGATTGTTTTCTCTTTTCTTTGTAGATATTTCTTCTTCATAAGTGTAGTAGTTACAGTGTGGAACAATATGTGAGAGTGATGAGAGGTTGGGGCTGGAGTTAAGATCAAACAGAAGGAATAAAGAAGGATGTCAGTCTGGTTATATCTCCATTCTGTAGGTGTCTTGCATCATAGGATTGCTTATGTGGACATGGCAACCAAACACTCATTCTTTGGGGCATGGAGAGGTTAATGAGGCAAGATGGTTATGACTGGAATGAGAATGGTATAGATCCTCACCTGCAATAGAAGAGGTTGAATGGCTATCTTCATGTATATTAAGTACATAGCACAGAAGCTGCTACTGCCCACTTACGAGCAGTGAGCTGGAACTAGCTTGCACAAGCTCGTAAGAGCCAATTTGTAAATATTCAGGAACATTGTGAGTTGGCTGCTAAGATTTTGGTAGCTCGAAATTGATCATGATGAGGAGTTTTTACACCACAAAAATTGGCAAATAATACAAATAAGGACTTTTAATTTTATTCTATTTTCCAAAGAGACAGCTTACCAGAGTGTCTGTGCCAGACTCAAAGTAAACATTGCTAACAATTAGGTTGGGTTTAACACTTTTGTTGGATCTTTTTTTTTTTTTTTTTAAATGTAATGTTTGTCCGTACATGATATATATATTTATGGAGTACATGAGATGTTTTGACACAGGCATGCAATGCCTAATAATCACATCATGGAAAATGGAGTGTCTATCCATTCAAGCATTTATCCTTTGTGTTACAAACTGCTGGATCATTTTTTAATTATCTTTCAGAAAAAAGCCACAATGATACCAAACTTTAGATTGCAGCTTATTAAAGCTTAATCAGCAACAGGTACTCAGCAACATCACCAGTTTTCTCTCTGGTGTTTTCTTGATGTGTATGCACTGTAGGAAGACACTTGTCATGCATTTGGATCACTAATTGACTCATTCACTAAACATTTACTGAGTCTCTGTATTATCTATTGCTGCACAACAAATCGTCTAAAAACTTAGTGGCTTCAAACAACAATAATAATTGTTGTTCAATGATTCTGTATCAGGATACCCAGAGTAGCTGGGTTAGATGTTTCTGACTTATGTTAGAACAAGTCATATGTCATCACTTCTGTGTCATGATGTGGCACTTAGATGCTGGCTAGGGCTGCAGTTGTTTGATGGCTTGACCAAGGCTGAATAAATTACTTCTGAGATTGCTCACTCAGATGGCTAGCAAGTTAGTGCTGGCAGGATGCTTCCTATCTACCTGGGTCTCTCCACAGGATTATTAGGGGGTCCTTGCATCACAGTGGATGGCTTCCCCTAGACCAACAAGTCTAAGAGTCTATTTCAAGATGTACTGAATTCTTCATTTGGGAAATGAGGTAGTAGAGTAGCTAAAAAACCTTTGCAGTTTCTGCTCACTATGCCTGAGTTGCTTCCGCCCCGCCCCCCCCAGATATTGCACAGCCAGCTTGCTTTCTTCATTTAAGCCTCCGCCGAAAGAGAGCCCTTCATCAGAAAGATCTTTCCTCACTAATACCCACTACTTTCTTTTTCCTTATGCAACAACATTTTTCTTCATAGCATTTATCACTCTATGATACAATATTTAATATTTATTTGCTTGCTTACTGTTTTTGTCTTTTATTAGAATAAAAATATCTTCAGGACAGGAACTTCATATATTCTTTTGCTTAGAGCACGTGTTGAATGATGAATAAGAGTACTGGTTCTCTTGTTAGACTTGGGTCTGGAGTCTGGTTCTGCTACTTATTAGAGCAAAAGGCAAATTATTTAACTTTTGTATACTTCAGTGTTCTTTCTCAGCTAAAAAATGGGCTTAACAATACCTGTGTAGCTCTTGGAATTGTTATAAATATTTTTAAATGACATACTATATATAATATACCTAGCATTGTGTGTGCTCACAGCAAAAATGTATACAATATTAGATATTGCTATTATTATTTTATTGTTGTTATTACTATGATATTACTATGATAATAGCCTCAAACCTAGAGTGAGGAGCAATTTGAAAGGCATGTTAATATAGTTCGTTTTTGTCCCCACCCAAATCTCATCTTGAGTTGTAGTTTCCATAATCCCCCTTACTGTGGGAGGGACCCCATGAAAGGGAATTGAATCATGGGGGTGGTTACACCCATGCTGCTGTTCTCATGATAGTGAGTTCTCATAAGATCTGATGGTTTTTTTATAAGGGGCATCCCCCCACCTTCACTCTGCACTTCTCCTTCCTCCCGTCATGTAAAGAAGAACGTGTTTGCTTCCTTTTCTGCCATGATTATGTTTCCTGAGGCCTTCCCAGCCATGGTGAACTGTGAGTCAATTAAACCTCTTTCCTTTATAAATTACCCAGTTTTAGGTGTGTCTTTATTAGCAGCATGAGAATGGACTAATACAGATGTTATTGGTATGGATCAGTGATTGACTCATCAAAGCCTTTTCTCATGTTGGGCTCCTATGTTATCCATAATCTTAGTTCAATTACTTTTTTTCTTGAAGGTCCTGAACAGACTGCAGAGTAAATATGGCTCCCTTTACAGAAGAGACAATGTCATCCTGAGTGGCACTCACACTCATTCAGGTCCTGCAGGATATTTCCAGTATACTGTGTTTGTAATTGCCAGTGAAGGATTTAGTAATCAAACTTTTCAGCACATGGTCACAGGTATCTTGAAGGTAGGCAAAGAGCCCCAGAGGCAGCTATTCTTTACCATTGCTTACAGGTATTTTAGGAGTGATCGGATGTGATATGAAGAGTGCCTATGGGATTTAGGTCTGAGCATAGTATTAGCATGTACCATTCTGTCTCCTCCCTGACCCTATCTTAGCTTCTGGTTCTGAGCTACGGGCTGTTAGGGCTGAGGTACTGATGATTAGAAAAGGAGGGTTCTATGGGATTAAGCCTGATACAGTTATTTATAGAGACAGAAAACATTTTGGTTTGGGTTCTTTATAGAGGGCACTACATGGTCTGTTTTCTGCACAAAGTCACACAAAAAGAAACCCATGAAGGAGCCAAAAGTATGTACAAATAATTCTAATTTTTAAAAATATTTCCCAATATACAAAGGGAATTCAACTTATAAATACACATCCCATTTTTTCAAGTTCTCTACTACAGATACAGACTTCCATGGTGCTCCTAACAAATACCCTTAAACTCCTCTCCTATTTCTGGTTTGAGTAGCTTATACTCCTCTCTCCCCTGTCTTCCAGCTTATTATTTTGTTGCATAGAATCCTTGCTAATGTTTTTCTTCATCTGATTGTCTTCTGGGCTTATTCTCTATTTTTTTCTTACAATGTCATCCCCCAAATTCAGGGATCCAGCTGGCGTAGGCAGAAATTGCTTTACAGTGATGTTTTGCAAACTGAGACTTGCAATGTATTAAAGACTTATGAAATCAATTTCATTGGTTGCAAAAAGCGTTATATAAAAACACTAAAAAATAAATTGTAAGGTGTAGTACATAACACACTGTCAGGGTATACTGTGCTCTGTGGACTTTTGTTTGGGGATGCATATGTTGATGTGTATTAAGTTATGGTGAAAAATGTATCTCTCACTGTAGTTCATAGTCAAAAAAGTTTGAACAACTCTCCCTTGGTGGTAGAATGGCAAGGGTAGAGAGATGGAAACACTTACCTATTAGCAAAATGTGTGCTTAGCGTTGTGGGAGTCAAGTCTCCCATTTTGGCTATCTGAAGTGACAATTAATTGAGCCTCATTTACCAGTCCTGAGAGACCAGGAGATGAGGCTTTTTGTGAGCTCAGGCATTAATCAACACTGCTTCCATATAACAGGGCATTTCCTTTATTTTAACATTGAAAGCCATTTCTGTTTACCTCCAGAATGGCAACAGCAATGTGGTTCTCCAGCTTTTATCCCATAATGTGGACACATTAGAGACAAAGGAAATTGTCCACAGGGTTCTTCTGTTTATATTGACTAAGTCATTATCCCCACCAGGATTTATAAGCTTATAACTTCCCTCTCTGTTTTAATCTTCAGAGCATTGACATAGCACATACAAATATGAAGCCAGGCAAAATCTTCATCAATAAAGGAAATGTGGATGGTGTGCAGATCAACAGAAGTCCCTATTCTTACCTTCAGAACCCACAGTCAGAGAGAGCAAGGTGAGGAGGAATCATCAAAATGAAATTGTTTTATTCCCTTTAGGGAACAGCAACAAATTCTAAGTGCAAGGCTGTTACTTGATGAATATGGTGAGGTCCTGAGAGAGTACTACAGTTACAATATCTTAAAAACATCTTTATCATCTAAGACACACAGAAACAAAAAGTGAATGTAGAAGCAAACACCCATTTATTCATGTATCTTTCCACATTGTTGGTTATGGGAGCCAGTGTGGTTGTTTGAAGGACTCTAGGCTTTGAAATAGGAACAACTGTGGTCTCAGCTTAGTTTCATTGCTTCCTAGTTATGTGACCTTTAGTGATGTACTTATCTTAATTTATTGGCACTCGGCTTCTTCATCTGTAGAATGGAGATAAAAATATGCATAACACATATTTATTAAATTAATGAATAGCTTTTTTATTGTGTGTTATCCAGAAGAAATCATTTAGTCCATGAGAGTGTGGCAAGATAGAGAAGATAAAAGAATAAAGAATATGGACAGAAGAGTAAGAAATAAGCCCACATATTTGAATGGAACAACTAAGGGAGAGGGTTATTTTGTCTTTTTGTCTTTTTATAAGTGATGAACCAGGTTTGTGACAGAAGAGAAGTGCTTGGCCATTATAGCACTGTAAAATAATATCATAGTTTTAACTTGACCACTTGACATTTTACATTTTACATTTTTATGCATATTTTTCAATAGCTTTCAAAGGAGGTGATTTTAGAAAATATAATCTGATTTCCCTTGAGAGGACATAAAAGAACACTTAAGTTGCAGGTCTTCAATGCTTTTGATTTTGCAAATTCCCTCCTTTTTAAAAGAGATTTCATTAAAAATTGATAGGAGTAGAAATTTCAAAGACAAATCCCTTTTGTAAGAAATACATATATGTTATATAATATTGCATATTATATAAAAAACATATATTTCAGCTCCAGTTACTTGGCCTAGTCCCCCAAACTTTGATCACAATTGCAAACCCTTTCCTTAGCTGAGAAATGAGGTACTGGATGCAGTTCACAGAACTACTGATTGTCAGGTCATCTCACTTACTGAGAGGCATTTTTGTTTTTGTGTCAGCTGCTGTTCATCTTACATGAGGGTCAGGCTCTAACACAGAACTGACTGTGTGTTTCTGTTTTACTGACTAGGTATTCTTCAAATACAGACAAGGAAATGGTAGTCTTGAAAATGGTAGATTTGAACGGAGACGACTTGGGCCTTATCAGGTACTTTATTTTCTTTTTAAAAATAATTCTGTCTGGGTAGGTTTTCTTAATTAAAGAGAGTGGGGAAGGGACTAGAATAGTGCCAGCACACACTGAGAATAAGCTGTGTGGTTGGGAGTCCAGGCTGTGGAGCCCAGATGGACACAACTGGGGTCCATCCATGGGCCTTGTACAGGGTTCTCAGCCTCTCTGGGCTTGTTTCTCCACTTGCAAAACAGAGTTAATACACGGATGATAAGTGAGAGATCTTGGTGAAGAGCTTGGCACAGCATCTAGCATATGATATAAAAACTCAGTAAACATTAATGCTTATCACACTATCAAGATCTCATATGTGGACCTTCCATGATGGTGAACAGTTATCTCCTTTCATTTTTCAAAATGAAAACACAATCTGACCAACTAGGAAGGCAATTATGGGTTTGAGATTATTTACCTGTGTTTCTCTAAAAGGATTAAGTCCATTGCAGGATGGTGCCAAGTAGGGATAAAGCAGAACTGAGAACACCTAAAGGAAGCAAGAGGGAAAATTACAGCTGGGGACAGCTTTTAGAACCATTATCTGGCAGTGACAGCATATAGGAAAACACATAGATTTTGTTTTCTCGAAAATAAGGCATTTGCATTCATATGTGATTTTGGTTACTGCAACTGGCTTGACTCAGGAATTGACTGGTTGGGTGACATAGTGCCAGACTTTTTGACATATGGACTTACCAATGATGCAGACGTGCCCTAGGGAAGTATCAGATAGCCTGGGTGCTACACTCAAATGGCTTGGGTTCACTCGGCTCTTGTTCTTATGAGCGGTGTGGCTTTCGACAAGTTCCGTGACAACTCTGTCTCCCTGTTTTCTTATCCTTAAGCATTTTTGAGCATACCGTGGTATAAAGTATTTAAAATGTTGATAATAATGATTAGAAAGATGATACAGGGTCTGCCAAACAGAATTATAAAACATCTAAGTGAAAGATGCTATGTAAATAAAACTAGCAGTAAAAGTGACAAAGTGATGAAGAAAAACATCAAAAACCACGATTCACAGTTCACACACCGGAGTTGGCCCTAAAACTAGGTGGAAAACAACATGGTAGCAAGTTCCAGTCTTGAGGTAAGATTGACTTGGCTTCAAATCCCAGCCCTCTGCCACTTACTAACCCTGTGGCCTGGACAAAGTAACTTAATCCACTTAAACCTTAACTATCCTCTTTGAAAATGGGAATAATAATACCCCTTAGTGTTGTCTGAAGATTAAATAAGATAATGCATGCAAAACTCTAGTTCTGTGCCTGGCATAGAAGGAAAGTTTAATCATTTTATTTAAAAGGAATAGAGAAAATATTCTACCTCTTCTAAATAATTGCATTATTGGCATATTAGAATGCTTGAAATTCTTAGCATTTGAGTTCCTCTTTTGTGTTAAAAGTGAAGTCACTAAAAGCCCCTTAATAAAATTTGCTGTATGGGCTGACGTAATAGGACTCATGCTTCTATTACAATAAATTCATCTCTTGATTAGCATTTAACTCAACACACTTTCTAAATGTCAAGCATGTAACTGTGTGTGGGGGGGTATGTTGTGATGAATAAGGCATGGTTTCTATCTTTAAGGGTCTCATAGGCTGGTGGGGTGATTGGGGCAGGAGACAGACAAATAGATAGACAAGTAACTATAACATGAATCAGATGACCAACAGTGCTATCACATGGGCATAAATAATGCTATGGGAGTTTGGAGGAGGTAGCCCTGAGGTTTTCTTGAGAGCACTGTGGAAGGCTTCCGAGAAAAAATGACATTTGAGCTGGAGCTTAAAGGAGGCATGGGATTTCTCACGGAGTCATGAGAAACAGAGAGTTGTGAGGCCAGAATGTGAGTGAGGTCAGGGTGTGGGTAAGAGGTAGACTGGAAAGGTAAGACAGTCCAGATTCTAGAGCACTTTAGAGGGTCATTCAATTACAAGAGGGGCAGGATAAGACCACGCATTTCTGCTAGTTACACTGAGTATGCCAAATTTGTTGAGACAAGGAGATAGAGTCACCCTTATAGTTTCTATTTAACTCTTGGCTGAAGGACAAAGACCATTTACAATTCCGTTTTAGTAGTTTTTGAATTTTTTTTTTTTTTCTGAGACAAGCTCTTGCTCTGTTGCCTAGGCTGAGGAACAGTGGTGTGATCATAGCTCACTGCAGCCTCAAATTCCCAGGCTCAAGTGATCCTCCTGCCTCAGCCTCCTAAGTAACTGGGAGTACAGATGCTCACCACCACACCTGGCTAATTTTTAATTTTGGGGGGTAGAAATGGTTTACTATGTTGCCCAGGTTGATCTCAAACTCCTGACCTCAAGTGATCTTCCACCTCAGCCTTCCATAGTGCTTGGATTACAGGTGTGAGCTACTATGCCTGGCCAGGTTTTGAATAATTTAATAACTGGAATAGAAAATTCAAAAATACTATTCTTTTGGCTAAATGTTCTTTTCTTCCTTACATACAATTATGTCATGTATCTGGAAGTCCTTGGGTCAACTGTCAAGGTTATAGCAAAGCTTTTCCATCTGTTGTGCTTAACACCCTGCAGTAACTTTCCATTGTTTCTGTAGCTGCCTTATGTTATCTTGGTTGTAATTGCTCCTGCAATTGCCTCTTGTTGCATAGTGCAATTGCTCTTTGAATATGTTAAAAACGATCCAAAATATAAAGTCAAATCTGGGCTGCTAAGTAACTCACCCACCATATGTAGGTGCCTGCTGTTAGAGAGAATCCCAAGGTGTGAGGAGTTTGGAAGCATAGCAACTCAGAATCACAGAGCATGGAGATCACCTATTCAACCTTCAGCTGAGGAGCAAGGGACTAGGAAGGTGATGTGACCTGCCTAGCATCACAGCCAAGACTGTCTTCTTCACAGTGATAACCATATTCAAGTTCATAATTCATTCCTTCTTACGTTCATTTTTGTTTTCAGTTTTTCATTCAGCAAGTCTGCACTAGGTTCCTACTATAAGCCATGCAATACTTCCAAGTCCTTGGAATGACGTATTCCCTGGCCTTGGAATCAGGAATCCAGCACCTTGGAATCTAGTACCCATGTTTGTGCTACTGGAATGAATCCCTTAAACTCTCTGAGACTCAACTACCATATTTCTCAAATATGGCTGTCATATTTTCTCTCCACACAGAGCTTATTATGGGATACATTGATGAACAAATACAGATGGAGTTGCTGTCCTTATAGACTTCAGTCTACTGAGGGAAACAGAAGGTATACAGATAGGCATGCAACACATGTAAAATTACAACTGGGCTAAGTGCTAAGAAAGGCAGGTGCGTAGACCTATCTTAAAGGAATTTGACCTTGTTAGAGAGATTGGGAAAGGTTTCCCTGAGGGAGTGACAATAGGAGTTGGAAACTGGAGTAGGAATTAACTGGCAAAATGCAGGGATTGGAAAAGAACATTGAACACAAACGGGGAAGTGTTTGAAGAACTGGTAAAAGGTGTGTGTGGCTGGAATCCAGAGGTCAGCAGGGCAGGGTGTTGCAAGACTAAGAGCTAGAGATTAGATGGCAGGACAAAGAATTTGTTTTTTATGCCAAGAGGAATGAAAACTCACTAAAGTATTTCAAGCTAGGGTTGGGAGTCAAGGCTGTCAAAAGGTTGGGAAGAGTGGAGACTCAAGGAATGAAGTAAAATTATGTTCCTGAAAGCGTTCCATGAACCATTAAATCCTCTACAGTTGTGAGGCCATCGTTTGCACCAGCTGCTCTATGTCAGAAAAATCTATATCAGAAAAATATTGCTAACTTTGTGACTTTTTCCCCTTACACAAAAACATGACATGTTTTTTCTCCAGACATGGAGAACATATTTGGAATGTTCTGAATTGTGAATTAAAATATAAGCTGTGTAACATTTACAAAATTCACTGTGGGAGACTCTGCAAGGTACCTCCAAGGGTCTATCGTTCAATAGAGGACAATAAATGGAAGCTTGAGAGTCACTGATGCAGTGAGACATTATGTATATGAAGAAAACATGAAGGAAGAAAGCAAAACAGTTTTCAAATGTCTTCATCAAAAAGAAAGTCACAACTGCAGATAATCTGAGTGACAGCTGTAGTCAGTGGAAGAGCTACTTCTCACACAGCTGCACTTATGAAGGCAGCTCTGAGACAGGTTGGGAGGCTGACTTACTTCTTCAAGGATGGATGCGACAACTGAACAGGTTTTGTCTTGCTTTTCTTCCCTTTGCCTTCCTCTTCAGCCGCATTTTCTTCCTTGAGTTTGCAGCAGTTGCATGGCCTCCTCTTCTTCCTTCTCCTTCTTTTCTTCCTCTTCCTCCTCTCTCCTTTTCTTTCCTTTCCTCCTCCTCCTCTTCTCTCTTCTCCTCTCCTCTCCACTGCCTTCTATTTGTGTATTGTAAATCATTTTATTCTTATAGTCAGTGGTCTTGTAAGGGGATGCTTTAAAGGCATATTTTTAAGCAACAGGGGCAGTGATTTGTGTAAGCTATTTGAATCATTTTTGTACAAAGTTAGAAAAATCCAATTTGTGGTATTATACCAATTTATTCAAATGGTAGTGACTTACAGTTGCAGTATGTATGTAAATCTCTATTATATATGACTATGGCTTCTTTATTTAAAAACTTTTTTTTTTTTACACAAAAATGTTTTGGCTTTAATTGACACAGAATAATTGAATTATTTCTCTGGAATTGTACTGTCTGTTTATTCTCTATGGCTTTATCTATTTCAACTTCATACTCTCCCTTCTGTCCACTTAACCCCATTCAAATTGCAAATGCTGAAACCTCAGTGACTGCCCTCTACCAAACCATTCTTGACTTGATATCTTTTTCATCTTATCTCATCTTTGTCTTCCTAAATGCCTTCTCTATCATTAGCATGAATTCTGATTTATAAAGCGTTCCTCTCTGCTTATTTTCCTTATTGCTTTTATTTAAAAAATAAATAGAGACAGGGTTTTTCTATGTTGCTGACTGGC